CACACACACACACACACTGAAATCCACCGGATTTGCGCTTCTTAGAGAAGTGTCGGTGGGCGAAGCAAAAAAAAAAAGATCGTCTCTTTTTTTTTTCGGTGTTGTTTTGCTCTTTTTGTCGTTGTTGTTGTATGCAATAATTATTCGCAGGCTCCCTTTCGTCCCACGCGCCTCTTTATTTTTTTTTGATGTCCTTCTCGATTTCTGTCTCTCAGTGTGTGGCTGCGAAAGCAGCAAGCGCCGACCCCAGCCACGACGACGACCACCACCACCGCACGGTGCGTGCCGCGAGTTGAGAGGCCAATTGCGGCGGCTCACACACGGGGCGACGATGAAAGACGCAGGCCTACAGACGCTGTAGGCAAAACAAGTCGGGGGAAAAAACAACAAGAAGAATGAAAGACACTAGAAAGAAAAACAACAACAACAAAACAACACATAATGAACATGAGCAAGCCGAAGAAGCGAGGAGGCGGGGGAGAAGAGGGAAAGCAGTCAGAAAGAGACACTTGTCAGCAGTAAATCGCCACCACACAGGCACTGACAGACAGCCACGCACACACGTGGGTGCAAGTGCGGCGGCACAAACGCGTCAACAACGTCTGCGAGAGCCTTAACAGCCCTCCTCAACGCACAGAAGTCCCTCCGCCAATAAACTCACGCATGCGGCGCGCGGCATCTTCGAGTGAAGGGTTTTCAGACGGCTGCTTCTGCACATCGGTCCCGAAAGAGGTGATTTGAATCGCGAGGGATGGCTGAAACACATACGTCTTGGGGTCTGCAATGTACTTGTCCTGCGCCTCCGAGTCGGACTCCAAGTTACTGCTAATATGTGTGTCCACCTGCCACGTCATTGGCGTTGTCAGCTCGAGGAGACGCTTTGCAGAGGCGTGGTGTAGAACGTATGCGGTGAGTTCGCGATGGCCCTGGTATGCGAGGCGGATGCCGTCGTCAATGAATGGACGGGGCGGCTTCCCAGAGGCAAGGAGGTCCAGCCCACCCAGGTGCACAACGCCCCAATCCGCGGGCACCCGTTCCCACAGTGGCCCCAGCAGCCGACCAAACTTGTGGTGGAACTCCACATCGTCCTCGAGCACCAACGCACACGCACGGCGCTCCGCCGCAATCATCTCCCATATCTTGCGGTGCCCAAGCGCACACCCAATGGCACCGCGTGTGAGGTCCATCCCAAACAGTTTCTCTTCCCTGGGAAGAAGAAATCGGGTATAGCCAAGATCTGTGATGACACCGTCCCTATGCAACGCCTCCACGTCGAGAGAGTTTCCATCGACCCCACTCACCCGGGTGACCTTCGCCGGCGGCTGTAGAAAATTTTCGAGCCTAGCGCGGGCAGTTTGCCGCTGCACATGCGCCCAGCGGTCCGGTCGGCGGTCAAGGTTGAGCACGTAGCATGCATCAAAGATGCGAAGGCGTCCGACAGAAGAGCGCAACATCGGAAAAAAAAGAAAAGATGAGGGTGGCTTTTGTTCGCGGGCACTTATGCCTCTCCTCCTGTTCCTCTCTCACCGTACGTGTGCGCGGGTGTTCAGCGCCAGCCGCAGCAGAAAATTCAGCTTCGCCCCTTCCACTCAGCACCCACCAGTTTGTTGTCGCCTCGTTGGGCTGTGAGTTTTGTGCCTCCCTTTCCCTTGCATTCCAAATTCCCCACGAAACGCACGTGCAGAGAAAAGGTTCAAAAGGGTACATATGCAGAGTCGAAATAAAAAAGAACGTAAAAGACAAACCAACAAACAAACAAAGAAGAGGGCGACTAAAGCAAAAGAAGCCACCAACGAAGAAGCAACAGTCACAGCCATGCTTAAACGCAGCTTCCGTTTGGCTAATTATGTATGGATTCATGCACACATGGGAGGGACGGACCTTCGTCACGGGGCAAATGTTAACCGAGGACATCAACGAACAAAACTAAAAAACCGGTACTCACAATCTTTGCTCCTCAAGGTGGGCGACGCACATTGCCAGGAATGCAATCCACGCCCCCGCCCACTTCTTACGCAGCCAACGCCACACACACACAAACACACACATAAGTGCATCATCCGGTTTTCCAGGCGGTAAAGAGGGAAGAAAGACGCAAGCAATTTGCATCGCATTGCTCTTCTCGACGTTCCTGTGTCGATTACGCATCGTCATCATCATCATCTTCAGGGCGCAGTGCGCCCTGATGACGTCGCTTCGGCCCCCAGTTAGGCGCGTTTGGAATAAACTTCGCCACCCCTGTCACGGCGCCGCGGAAATCAAACTGCCGGTCGTATGAAAAGTCGGCCTCGGCAAGTGGTTCCAGCAGCGGCACGCGAGCCCCCCCGCCTCGTCCTTCTCCCGACTTCACTTCCTTCGCGCCCTCTGCGTCCGTCGCGGCAGGACCGCCAAATGCAGGCGCCCTCTCCGACGCACAACTCGCCTTCAGAAGGTCATCCGAGGTCTCATCTTGCATCTTTCTCCACTGCAGCATCACACGAACAAGGAGTTCTGGCGGACAGTCCGTTTTGATTCCAGACGGGGCACAATGAACCTGGCTGCAGCGAAATCCCATTCTTCCCAAGGCACCCACAAAGAGCGGCGTAGGTGGGCACCGCACCTTCACGAAGGAGGCAATGTCGGGAAGCTGATAGAAGAGCGGGGTTTCCGGCAACTCTTCCATTGCCAGCCGCACCAGACCAGTCACACGTGCCTCTGCCTTGATCTGTTTCGCCGCCCCACGCTGCTCTACTTCCTGCAGGAGCTGTGAAAGGAAGGAAACACACTGCGTTGGGGCAGCGTAAATTGGGCCTGACAAAGTCAGAAAAGCGCCGCACACATTGCAGCATCGTGCGTCCGCACAGGAAGGCATCTGCTGCAAACTAAAAGCGGTGATTTTAGGATTGTCCTGCCTCAACGGGGCCGCGGGAAAACACTCCTTCCCCAATGCACCAGACGTACATTCCACCTCATCCTTCTTCGCCTCGCTGCTCTTATTATTCACACTGCTACCATTATTATTACTACCATTATTATTGCTTCCAAACGTCTTTGGGAGGCGGCTGTCGCTCGGCATTGTGTTTTCCTTGCGTCCACGCTTTTTGGCTCGCATGCGGGCAACTGCCATTGGACGCACCCAGTACGCTGGACAATGGCTACACTGCAGAAGGTATCCCAATTTGCATGGAGCGAGCTTCACCTCTGCTGCTTGCGTGTAGACACGAACAAAGCACCGCACATAAAAATCAATGTGTAGCGAGAGTAACGGCACAATATACTTGCGGTGTTTATTGGCGACGCGCTCCATGGCGGCAAGCAGAATTCTCACAGCCATTTCATGACACGCGGCGTTCTTTGAAGGGACGGTGTTGTACTTGGCGTGACATGTGTCTGGGTAGTTTCCACACAAAATGGCACTGTCGGTGCTGGTCACAAGCAGTAATCCACCTTCCTTGATACAACGCATGGCGGCATCCAAGAATGGGGAGGCGGAACCGTATGGGTCAAGGTCGACAACGTCCATCAGCTCTTGTTGCAGCAACGGTTGCGCCTCCTCCACACGGGCGTCACCACCACTACCATCGGCGCTGGCCGTCGTACGACCTGCCACACCGGACGCCACCACGCAGAGACGGCGTCCAGCGTACACGGTGGGATTTGTGGCCAGGCGAAACATCAAATCATTCGCGTCGTCCAGGTTTGGTATCACGGCGCCACCGGCTTCAATGTTTCCGGTTGCCTCATCCACGCGGACACCAGCCGGCGGAAAGTTTGCTGTCAGCGTCGGCCGGGCGCACGGTACGGCGTTGAATTCGCAGTTGCGACGGATACATTCCACGGCGTCGGCGTCGATGTCGTTCGCGATGATGAAGCGGATTCCAGGGACCTCCTTGTAGTAGCGGATGGCGCGCAGCCCGGTCGCGCTTAGCGCCTCAAGAATAGTGATACCGTCGCGCGTCCCGCCCTTGCGGCGGGGTTCGTCACGGCGCAAACGCGAAAAACACGCCAGCGCACACACGCTCAAATCCCGGTTGACCACCTGCGCGGGGTTGTAGAAGACGGCCTGGCCGTCGTCGTCTTCCTCACCACCGTCGCCATCCCCGTTGTGGCGGCGAGGAAAGCTCTGGCCGGCCTCGTGCTGCTCACTCTCGTGGCCTGCGCGCTGCCTGCCTGCGGAGTCCTTGACTTTTGCTGGCGGAAACAACACTGCCGCCGACCCCTCCGTGATCTTCGCAAACCCGCTGGGGGGCTCCTTCGCAAGCCCTTCCGCATTAAACAGGCCGGAGCGCATCAATCCAATCAGCCAGCCGCTGCCGCGAACAAAACCCAAACTATTTCCCTGCTGGAGAAAGAGCTGACATTTCCATGCGTGGATACACGTGCAGTTGTTCAAAAGAAGACGAGAAAATCAAGAAAAAAAAGAAGATAAAAGAAAAAAAAGAAAAAAAAGTACAAAAAACGACAAAAAAAAAAAAAGAAAATAGTCAAAGCCTGCGCCAACATCTGTCTTTCGTCCCTCTGCTTCAACTCCCTTCTACTCTTGGCAGATAAACAGTCTTCTCGCGGTCCCACGCACACGCACCCAACCACAGATGCCGCTTACACCGCCACGGTATCCTTTTTTTTTTTTCGTTGTCGCTGCGTTGCATCACTTCGCGTAATAAAATTTTATTGTACATATAAGGTTGTGGCCTTCCCTTTCGGTCTTCTTCCGTCAACCCTCTTCCTCTGTGAAACGAAGCACGAACAAAACGGCAAGAGAAGACCGGCAAGGGTTCCTTCGCCTTCTGCTTTCTGTGGGGACCAAACAAGAGTAAAGTGTGTCCGGGCATAACATTCCCCCGGAGGCCTCCTTCTCTCTCTCTCCCCCTCTCACTCATACACGCACACGGCATGCAGATATATATATATATATGCAAACTATTGGCATTTGCAATGCACCACGCGGTAGCCCTGTTCCTCGTACTCCTGTCGCGAGACGGTTAAATGTGGAAACATGGACGTTCGCGCCAGCATGGAGCCGCCAAGCCAGGCACTGTATATACGACACTCCACATCATGCACGCGGATTGGTGTCACCGCCTCGCTAGTGTGTGTTTCTCTGTAAAGTTGAGTCACTTCCGCCTCAATCCGTGCCCTGGTCCCGGGGAAGGAGACACTCCCGCCCGCGAGGATTATGTTTGCAAAGAGTGATGGTCGCATCGTCGCCTGACAGTTGTTGATTGCGGCGAATGGTAGCCAACTAATACCCATGGGAAAAGAGGGTTGAAATACCTCTCCCAATTCCGTCATGTAACGTGACTTTGGAATAAATTGCTCGCCGAGAATAGCAAAATCAAAAAGGGCCTCAGTCGCACGGTGGCGATGCTCCGATAGTGGAATGGCGTGACCGTCTGGAAGGTAAAAAACTTCCTCCGTCGCCACCATCTGTGTCGTGGGTGTCAGATGGCCATTCATGGCAAAGTTGTAATCCATCGGCAGTGTCCCTCCTGCATTTGCGGTGGTCTGAAGGGGAGAGTTGGGCCCAATTTCACTGGGCTGCACGTAGCACAGCTCTTCCTTGGCTTTATTTAGGATCTGCATTTCAACAGGTGTGCCAAAGCTGTACCCTTCCTGCCGCAAGAGGGAGGCGAGGTAGTTTGTCAAGGATTCACCTGCAATCTCACTCTCGGTCACGTGACGTCCAAGCGCGTAACCCTCATGCACAGGAACCGCCATGGTGCGATCCTTGCCACTATCAAGCACCAACCCCGTTGTCAGGCCATACCCATACAGGCTTAGCACCTGCGAAGTTCCTAAAAAGAGCGAGTGTACATGAAACGTCTCCATCATGAGTTCCAACGTCTTTTCCTTTTGTCCTGCCGGGGTGTTCACTGGCTGCGGTACAACAAAACAGTGACTCTCCGGTGTCACCCGCATTTCTGAGAACATCACATGACTCCACAACTTTTCCATATGCTCCCAATTCACAACAAGGCCATTTTCAATAGGACTGCCAACCGTGAGCATGCCACGCTTCACGAGGGCTTCCTCTCCAATCTCGTACTCATTCATCCCGGCAGCCATCGCCACGCCCCGATTGCGAGGGTGGCCGACGAGGGCAGGGATGTCAAGACGGGGTCCTCGCTCATCCGCGTATCCCGCACGCAGCGAGTGCGAACCGGTGTCCAAAATGACAACAGGGACGCGCTCCCGTGCAGCTTCCATTTCCGTAATGGCAAAGCTTTACTCCTTGTTTTTTTTTTAATTTCTTGAGAGAGTGTGTACCTGTTTCTCTTCTCTTCTGCTCTCTCCTTCGACGTTTTTTTTTCTCCCCCCCTCTCTCCCTGATTTATGTCCGCCTCTTCCTTTGTCTCCCGCTCACACACCAGAGAGGGGGAGGGTGGAAGATGGTGCCTCTCCGCGACCCACTGCCGCCAGCGCCGAGTTCCTTGGCAAACGCGTGAGAAGGCAAAGGACCAACGGCGGTAACGGTAAGCAGAGAGGGTGGTAAATCAACGCAGGTGTTTTATGGCTACTTCTTTTATTTATTATTTTGCCCACTACACTCTTGTTTTTGCGTGACATGCGGTTTTCAGGCGACGTGCGTGAGTGTGTGGGAGGTTCGCAGGGTCGCGCCCAACACCCCGTTCACTGCCCAGAGAAAAGTGACACCGCCATGCAGCAAAAAAAAAAAAAACGGGCAACAACAACAAATAAAACAACAACAACAAACGCATGCAAAAACATCAAGAGGAAACACCCGAGCCATATTTGCGCGCCCACTCGTCAAACTTTTTCAAGTCAGACTGACGTACGCTACTTTGTGTACACGCCACACTTGCCGTCACGTCGTCGATGCTCACGCGTGGCCGCTGCAGCGCCCCACCTGCCAACTGCATCGGGCTGCCGGCGCTCTCAAGTTTTTCAATCAACACACGTATCGGCCGCATCATGGCTTCACGACACACAACATCAATATCAGCGCCGGACATGCCCTCCGTGAGATCGGCGCAGAGGTTCCAGTCCAGGTCTGGCGCCGCCGCATTCGGGGTAAGAATTGTTCGAAACATCGCCGCACGCGCCTCATGTGATGGCAAACCCACAAGAATACGTTTTTCCAAACGGCGAAGCATCGCGGTGTCGAGGTCCCACGGCACATTGCTTGCTGCCAACACAAAGACGACCTCGCCACCGCGCCGCTTTGAGAGTCCGTCCATCTGAATAAGAAGCTCCGTTTTCATCCGTCGTGAGCCTTCGTGCATGCCCTCTCCAGAGCGCGCTGACATAAGAGAGTCAATCTCATCTATAAAGATGGTGCTCGGCGCATAGTGCACCGCCAGATCAAACAACAGTCGCACAAGCTTCTCACTATCACCGCGCCATTTGGAAACCACACTCGAAGCAGATATGTTGAAAAATGTCGTACGACACTCTGTGGCCACAGCCTTCGCGAGAAGCGTTTTACCGGTGCCAGGGGGACCAAAGAGGAGAATGCCTTTCCAAGGCCGTACTATACCTGAAAACAACTCGGGGTACTTGACAGGCATGACAACTGCCTCCTTTAGTAACTGTTTCGCCTGGTCTAACTCTGCTATGGAACTCCAGCGAACGTTGGGGTTAACATCTAGTATGTCTCGCTGAATGGTCATGGCCAATTCATGTTGCTCCGCAGTAAAAAAAAGTGGGAAGTGGTTTCAACGCACGACCAAAAAACATATCTTCATCAGCGTCACTCAGGCGATTCTTGTCCTGCGGATCTGGCACAACATCTACGCGTGTGCCCTCCACGGCTATGGGTTTATTTGCGTTCCCTACCGATTTCTTTTGGTTGCTTCCCCGGATACGCTGCGGCGAAGGCGGCGTGCACGGCTTTGGAGCGAGCGCCAAGCCTCGCGCAATTGCAGGTGCTTTTCCCGTGGGACGTTGCATCTCCTGCACCCCACTCGGCGGCGCGTTCCCTAACTGTGCGACATTGGCGTAGTTTACCCTGTCAGGGTTCACACTTGCTGCCGTTCGCCTTTGGGGTGTACCCGAGGAGGCGCTTCGCTGCTGCCGCCGCACCGCCATGCACTCCCCCTTATAGGCCTCCGTCAAGAAGTCGTGTGCGCCTTCTATAACCCGAAATAACTTCGGTCGACGATTAAAGCGAAACTCAAAGTATTGCTCATACTCCGTGATAATGGTGAAAAGGTCTATATTGTCTGCAGGACAGAATTGTTGCAACGACACATGACTCTCCTGCTGCAAGGTCTGCAAGGCGCCTGTGTAACCCTGATCCAGCAGAAACTGTAGCACGAGCACTATGGCACCCTTCACGCGCTTCAACCGAATCTTCTCGGATTCTTCGCGAGCCCTCTGCTGCGCTTTTATAGCCTGCAGCGATGAACCAGGGGCACCCTCGGGGTTGTTTGATAGGGGTTGAAGACGCTGACAGTTTCTTTGCTGCATCTCACCCTCAAAGTTCTTTCTCCCTCTATGTCTGAGAAAAATGTGTGAATGTGGCAGTGCATGCAAACAGGAGAAAAGGCGAAGCGGCGGAACGCCAAGTGCTCCACACAACACGCAGCAGCAACGGCAACAAGTGAAGAGGCGGATCAATACAATAAAAAGAAAGCATCCAGAAACAAAAAAAAAGGCTTCCGGCACGGGCTCTCAAAGAGAAATATAGCGAAAAACACACGCACACACGGAAAAAAAAGAGGTAAATAAGAGGAGAAGCGCAACAATTAATCTTTTTTTTTACCTTTTTTTCGCCTGCGGTTACAGACACACACATAAACACGCACGCACAAAGCACGACAAGAAGATATATATATATGTTTGTGTATAAATATATATATTGTAGTTGAAATAGTATGCGCTCATTCCCTCATCTTATTCCACCTTCCTCTCTCCTTCGTTCGCTCTTCTTCTTCTTCTTCGATGCCTCCCTGTTTGTGTCCGTTCGGTTCAAGTTGCTTCTTTCGCCAACAATAACGCCTGCTAAAACTCCTGATAATATTGACGAAAACCAAATAAATAAAAAAGAGACTTTTTTTTTTAATCCGCTCTTCTTTGGGATTTACTTTCAGTAGTTGTATTCACAAAATTGAACATGTATGTATGTATGTGCGTGCGTGGAAGTCAGCTTTTTTTTTTCTTACCAGCCTACGCAGGGGCTGTCTTAGGCATCATCGGCGTCGTGACTGTGTCCACCCAGAGCAAATCTGACAGCACCCAACGACCATCGGCGTCCATGTAGTAACACAACAACTTGCGCATTGCCGGCGGACACTCCGCAATGTTCTTTGGGATGCCAATCATATCCGAGATGCCTGGGGGGCAGGCAAGCTCTAGATGGCGGCCGGTACACATCCGAACGAGAAAGTCGAGCGGGGCCAAAACCGCCTGAGCGTTCGCCATGGCAAAGAAACGTGCGACGGCAATACGCTGGTACTCATTCTCGTGACCTCGGATTCGCTGATAATACCAGTCAAAATTGTGATCGTAGCGCTGCGGAGGCGTCACCACGTCAATGGAGGCCACAACACACGCCACTGCCGTAGCAGGGATTCGTGGTAACGGGCGTCCCTTGAAAGTAATAATTGTCTGACCCTTCAGCTGGTTCCCGTCTTTAGTGCTACCCGTGGCTGCATCCTTCGCCTCCCTCGTGGTCGACTTCGCCGCAGGCGCCGTCCCCTCTTCAGGGTTGGACCTCGCCGGACCACCACTAGCGACGTTGGGGCCTCTGCTGGCCCCCTCCTGAGCAGTAGCTGAGGGAGGAGTCACTATCACCGTCAATTGGGCATCGTCCACGAAGTGGACTTCTTTCAGTTTGTGACACTCATGGAAGAACACCATGTTTGTCGACAAAATGTAGTCATTTGGGGCAGCAATACGAAGCACGTTGGAGTCAAATACCCGCTGCTTGTTCCACATGTAGTACATACGTTCTCCCAGTTCAAGAGAAATGGGAATTATCTGCGTCAACGCCTCCGCCACTACTTTGGGCGTTCGCTGTCCCTCCTTACCCGACTTCTCCGCAACATTCGTCACTTCATCGGCGAGGTCCTTTGAACTAATTGCGTACTGTTTGGTCAGAAGTCCCTTTAACTGTGCCAGGGCACCTGCAAGAGGAACAACTTTGCCAAGTGGTAGCTGTGGCTTCGCTGCCTCTGCAAGCGTCTCACAGAGTACACCCAGGCCGTAGTACGATTGGCGCACACCTTGCAGGAACTCGTTGGCACTGCATCCACCATTTTTCTCAGCCCAACGATCAAATGCTCGAAGGATCTTGTTCTCAGATGCCGCACTTTCATTCGAGACACCTGTCCGGACCTCTCCTTCCATATCTGTCTCACACGGCGTATCAGGCGCTCGCGCGGTGGCTCGGCCTCGACGCAGGAATAAACTCGTTGCGTTGCCACCGCCAGGAGCTGCCGGGCTTCCAACGACACGGTTTCCATTTTCATTCGCATTCACGGAGTCCACACGTAGCGGAACTTTGTGGAGGGCCCGGCTCTCCCGCGCCGCGCGACCAAACACGGCTGGCATAACACTCCACGCGGAGGCCAACAGGACGTGTCGCCAGTTGCCCCGGTAACCGCCGCTACCGGAGAGTCGCGCCAGGACAGTAGAAGACCGACGCATTGCCCTTGTTGCCCTTGTGTATGTGTGTGTGTTGCTCCGTTGGTGTGTTTTTCTGCCGCCTTCCTCTGAACTTCTCCGCTGTCGAGGTTTGTTTCGCTGCTCCCGTTCCTCCCCCTCGCGGTGGTATTTAATTTAACTCTCTGTTTTCCCTCCTCCTTCCCTCGCCCACACGTTTACTCCCACACGCCTGAGAGACCCTATAAGAATGGATAGTAGCAAAAAAGACGCGCAGAGTACACGGGAGCCAACACGCAGCAGGCAAAAGAGCTACATCGATCCACACTTGCGTAAATAGGCACATCGTATACGTGGCTCAAAATGTTAATCAAAGAGACAAAAAAAAAACAAGAAAATTCCAAAGAAGAGCGACTTCAAAGTAGTGATTGCGCGGTGACACACGGAATAACTCGTGCAACGGCCGCTTTGGCGTCATCGCCCTTTAGTTCATCCGCATCAGCGCCTGTGCCAACCGCAACCGGTTTATCATGAAGACGCCGCTCAATGACCTCCTCGCGTGTGAGACCGACCACGTCCAACGTGTACAGTCCCTCCAGCTGTGCATCCATAATTGACTTGAGTGGCACATGCAACGCGGCTCTTCGATGCAGATAGGCAAGCTCCTCAATGTAGACTTCGTACCGGAACGTGCATCGTGACTGTGGCACCTTTGACAGACGCACGTCGTTGCCAGCCGCACTGCGCAGAGCGCACAAGTTTCCCAACCATGCCTTTTTGCGATATGAGGGAAAACCAGACATCAGTACACTGTTCTTGGCAATCTCACACACATCCACCATGGACAAATTCCAAAAGTTTGCCGCTGTGCTGTACTCCTCAATTAGTGGTTGCTCTGTGTGGTGAAAGATGAGCGCCCCATCGGAGGCAAGCGCCACATTTAGTCCACGCCGGAAGAATACTGGGAATGGATTATCATTATATTTGCAAAAGAGTGCATTGTTCGAAAGTGGTGTCATACCAAGCGGAATCTGTGCCAAGTAGTACAGGTACTGCAAGACAGGTGAGTGCTTAAGATTGATGCCGTGATTTACTCCATCCGCAACAAAAAAGGCATCGGCCATGTGATCTGGATCACCACTCTCTCCTGCATGTGGACGGAAACTAAAGGTGGATAAACCCCGCGCGGCACGGTAGCGATTCAGTGCGGTGATGTTCACCCACATGTAGTACATCCAATAGGCAAAGGGTGGGTTCTCGTGGAAGGTCCACTGGGGCGGTGGAGTATCGACAAGCGTGTCAGGCTCGCGCTCGCTTTCGTTGTCGACGCTATCAAACCCGCTGACCTGGGAGAGAAGGTAGCTGAGAAAAGGATGTGCCTCGGGGTTGACGGAGGCCTCCCAAAGTGGTGCAAAGAGGTTTGTCAACATCTCGCCGAAGGAGGCGATGATGCCATTCCTGCGGTAGATGGAGTAAAGCCGCGGTATTTGCACCATCCACCGATTCGTCGGGTGCAACAAATGATGCAGGAGAATCCACCGCGCCAGTTGGTCCCACTCGCTGCGGTGACGGCCGTAGATGGAGAGGCGATATTCGGAAAACGTATGCCCGTCCTCCGCCTGACGATGAAACGTTTGACGTATCAACTCAGCAAAGTAACGACCTCCCATGTAGTTGTCTGTCTTGAGAAAAAGGGTGCGGAGCGCCGAGTTGCCGAGGGGACTGTAGCGGCCATTAAATTCATCAAAGCGGTTGAAGGTGTCTTTCCCCGCCTTGACTTTAAGCAAGGCAACGGTAAGATCCTCCACGTTGACGGCGGCCCCTTGCATTTGTGAAGTTCGCAGTTTTGCAAAAAACTCACCAAGCGTCACAAAACGTCCGGTGCCAGGCTCAACATCCACAATGTCATCAGCGTGTTTTTTAACCTTCTTCTTGATAAAACTCAACAGTTCCTTCGCCGTCATGCCTGCCGCCATGTGGCAGTGCACATCCACCTTGACACACTTGTACAGATCAGCCTTCTCAAGCAGCGGGGGCGTGTAGCGGGTGTGTTGCTCCTGATCGTCGTTTGTGAGGGCGACGTGAAGGTTAAACTTGCACTCCAGCATTCCAAGTCGTTTTGCAGCGTAACGTTGCATGAAACTCTTGTGTGACACTCGTCGTAGCTGTCGTACATCCGATTGAAACTCGCTCCAGGTTGGCAGGGGTCGGAAGTACGCCTTTGTCGCATCATTGACATCTGCGGTAAGAACCACATCCCACACTCCGCCTCGCGTAGTAAACTTTTCTGGAACACTGACGTGCGCTTCACGCTTCAGAGGAGGTGAAAAGACATCAGAGGACGAGCGCGCCTCACGCTGCACGCGTTGCTCCTCCTTGGAGGCAGTGTTGCCACCCAGCACGGCCAGCAGTGCATTCACCGTCGTGGCAGTCTGAAACTGCCCCGTTGGGGGAGGCTCAAAATCCACATTGAAGCTTCTATAATACTGCCGTCGGAGAAACGATTTCGAAAGCGCCACAGCCCCATGACTCTTCTCCATACTCTTTGGGCCCGAAATAACTATCCGTGGATACTCAATCTGCCGCTCCACAAAGTTCCACCACGTATTACTCACGTCGACCTTGGCAAGCGGGCTGTGACGCGGAACCTTAAAGAAACGCCACAACGTCTCACGCTGCGCCGCCAGCGTGAGTGACGTCGGTGAGAGCGCTGCAGCGTAGTGTGAGGCGGTCCCCATCGTTTTTGGTCCAAAGAGCGCTGCCGTCTGGCCTTCCTTCTCTTCTCCGCACGCGACGATAAAGCCAGATTCCGCCGTCAGGCCTTTTCGACAGAGGAGGTCCATTTCATGCGCCAGCGACGATTCCCGGAAATGCAAACGTAAAGAGTTCACCTGCGTTTTCGTAAACTCGTTATACCGTGCACGTACCCGTTCCCAAGGTCCACCAAGCATCTCGCATCGTTTTTCCATGCTCCAGTTGGCATGCTCGGCGGAGTGAAGGCACAGCTCCGTGATCTCGGCCAGGGCCAGATGGCAGCCCCTCTGAAGCCCGTTGAACTCTTCGCAAAGGGCATTGTCACTTGTACTGTAGTGCAGCGGGTCAAGGGTGACAATCGCGCCGTTGAGGCCGGTTTCAACAATGAAGCGTACGTCTCGCTCCAGTGCAGAGCCAGAAGGGGTAATGTAGTTTCGAGACGGGGTAACGACAATGCGTCGCTGCGTTAGGTAGTACAAATAGGCCAGCGGGCTCCAGTTAAACACCTCTACTGGGTGCATCATCTCATCTGCGATGAGGAGCCCCATCACACTTTCCATGAAGGAGTTTTTGCTCGTTGCTGAGGCGCCCAAGCGAAAAAGCAGGGGTCGTGAGAAAATGGGACGGTGCTGCAAAAAAAGTGATCGCTCCGGCAAGAAATATTCGGATGTCACATTGTCTCCCTCTGCGGTTGTTGCTCTTGCCGCTCTCGTTTCGACTTCTCTTTTATCCGAGGCGAAGAAGCGGTGGGCAACGGCCACGCAGTTTAACAGCTGAACATTCCTCCAAACGTGGTAAATAAAAAAAGCGTCCGGCGGCGTTATACCACTTTCCACAGAGTACCTCCTGAGGTCGTTAACCACCGGCAGCTCCTGCAAGTCGGCGTTGCCGCTGACACCCACCTCCACCGAGGCGAGTTGCTGAAGAAACTGCACCATCTCTGAATGCTCATGCGGCTGCAGAAGAGCCATCCAAATTGGGCCAAAGATATTTCGTAGCACCTCCTCCATGTTCTTGCTGGTGCCGCCAGTTTCACCCGCGCAGAGTGGCTGCTGCACGATTCGCAGGGCCAATTGCACCTTTCCCGTCGCACTGAGTCCGCTGCGGACACACCAAGACGCAATGTGCTGCACCTCCCCGGCGACACGTCCAGTGGCGGTAAATTCGAGCTCCAACACGGCATTTTCTCCCGTCACAATTTTGGACAACATCGGCAACACAAGCCTTGCGAGTAAATCGCCGTTGTTTCCAGCAAAAACGTCAAGAAAGTGTTTAAGCAGCGGCATGGCGTGTGCCTTGGTGGACAGCGTCGCATTTTGTGTCTCAAAGCCATCCAGGTTGCGTCCCGTGGTTTCAGCGTAGTTTGGCAGCAATCCTAGGCCGTCGGCCGTGAAATAACGTTCCTCCGGCGGAAGCAGCGGCCCGAAAAAAATGTCCACCACTTCTTTTAGTGTGGGGTCACGCTCGTCAAGCTCCTCATTGCTGTGGCTCGCAGTTGCACTGGGCGCCGACTGCGGACCCTCTCGTTCCACGCGAAGTCGAGGGACTCCTGCCATCGAGAACGAAGCTTCACCCTGCGCAGGCAGCACCATGTCCGGCTCCTGCGCCAGCGTCTGCCGCATGAACGTCACCAACGTGTTGGCAGACATGCAGCTCTCAACGCGTCGCACGTCGAGTTTCGGTGCGAGGTTGAAACTTCCGCCTCCGAGTGTTGGGTGGAAATCGTCCTCACGCACTCCATTAAAGGCACGGTAAAGGCGATAGCGACTCTGCAGGACTTTGATGCGGGGATCACAGGCGGAGAAGAGCACGGAGTTGGCCATCACCTGACAAAGCTGCTCAAACTGCGCACGGAAGTTTGCGTAGTCAAACACAGGCTGCGACTCCAGAAACGCGTCCATCGCCATCTCGCGTGGCGCAATCAGCCCTTCATGGCAATGTAACAAGGAGTGGGAGTGCCGCGAGTCCGCTTTTGCAATCTGGAGGTGCGACAAGGACTTATAGACCGACTCCAATTGAGGCTTCAGGGTTCCCAGCAGCTCCCGTGCCTCCTTGAGCGCTCTGCGGTGCACGAGGTGCGGGTCGCCAACGCCGGCAAGTTCAGATTCCCGCCATGCGACATTCAGCGAGAGTGGCAAAGCCCGCACAGAGGCAATCAGGCGAAGAGCCTTCACAAGCAGAGGGGCGGCAGTGACAAAAGCCTTGTCGGCCTCGTCGTTCTGGATAACCACCTCATGCCAATTGTGCTCCATGATGTATGCGTCTTTTTCTTTTTTACCTTCCTTTTTTTTTTCAGCCTCCCCCCCCCCCGTAGTGCCTGCTATAAATCGAGATCAACGTATAAACGTTAATGCCCACAATTTTGGTATGAATAGAGCTTTATAAACATAAAAAAAAAAATAACTACTCTTGTGGCTTACTTTGTTGGAAGTTCCACCCCCTCACAAGCCACTTTTCTACGCTTATTTCTCCCTTACTCCTACTCCCTCTCTCTCTCTGGGAAGGATTTTGTTTGGATGGATGGGTGGAGGCCGCGCCACCTCACGGGCGGGTCCGCCAGAGTGGGAGAAAAAATAAAAATAAAAAAAGAGAAACAACGACAAGCACAGTGAATAGGACCCCACCGCACGCTGCAACGACACGGCCCCACCCCACACGTGCGATGAAACGCGAGGAGGAGTGTAGAGAGACTGCCCAAGACTTGGGTTAGTATGTGCGTGCGTGTGTTTTTTTAAGTTTTTTTTTACGCGAAAATTTATCGTTGAGTTAGCGGGAGAAATCCTCCGTGATGCGACACCCTCGCCTTCCATACACACACAGAGAGAGAGAGAGAGGCGACAGCAACGACAGTGCGGAAGAAAAAGTCCACAGCAACTGGCGCAGCGACGACATCAAGAAGAGAAACCGAGAACGGGGTCTCAGGAGAACGCCGGGAATTGGTGGTGCATGTCCACTCCCTTCCGCGCCTCCACACCCGTGCGCCTATTGCGGCGGTACGCGTCCATAACAGCCTCACGCAATCGCCGCATCTCTTCCTCCTTGGACAATTTCTGCGACACGCCTATGGGGCGGACCGCAGACGCGGACGTGGCCACATGCCCCAAGCCGAGACGCTCAAGTCGCCGTTCCTCCCCAACACCACCCACCGACGACAAGAGCTGCTGGCGCTCCTGCTGCGACGGCGCAACCCCCTTTTTGGAGGCCGCCCGCGAAGCGAACTCCAGCCTTCCGGCGAGGCGTGAGATGGAGGCGTCGTGGCGCGGAAGGGCATCAAAGACGGGGGGAGCCTCCACACGTTCGCCGTACCGCACAACATCCACCAACTCGCAGAAGTCACGGGGCACTTTAGAGCCCTTGTCGCCTGGGTAGCGCATCGCCCTGTGAGGGGCATCCACCCCCGTGCCCTCACCTTCGTCAGAAAATGTGATCCGTTTGCGTTTCCTTTTTTTATTCTCCTTTTCACTATGGCCGTTCTTACCGTTTCCCACGGCCTGTTTCTCCGCCGCCGCCGTTGCCGCTTCTGCCTTTTGCTTTTCCTGCTGCATTTGCTTCAGCTTCTTTTCAAAGGCGGCATCCTTGGCGTCCACTCGATCTGCCTTACTGCGCCTCTTACCACTTTTCATGGAAAGGACTTCCTCCTTCAGTTGCTCTTCCGTCTCGCGCAGGGCCTCCTGCACACGTTTCCGTCGAGCTTCTGCCTTCTTTCGATGCTTTTTTTCCTTCTTTCGTGCAATGATGACCTCCGCTGTATTTTCCTGCTTCTCGCTCGCGCCAGTATCGAGTGTTCTGAAGGCTAAGATGGGGCGTGCAAGCGATGCAGCCATTTCCGCGTTGAGGGCTATAGGTGTGATGAGTGACGTCTTCTTTGCCTTTTTCACACAGTTTTCCTCCCGCGTCTTATGCTTCTTTGCCGCCACCTCGGTGACAGGGGGGGCCGCGGTGGAAGGAGATGTCGTCTGTGGGACCAAAAAAGGAGTGACGGCAGAGGAGGAGGCCGCCCCGTTGGACTCAGACAATTTCTCGCTGCTTGCCGTTGGAGTTGATGTTTCTTCCTCCGTTTCCCTTGGTTTCCTCTGGAGACGTTCTTGTCGCCGTTGACGCCGTTCCTGCAGCCGCTGCTGCTTTACCATGAGGTACTCCATCACGGCTCTCTGACTGACGGGGTAGTCACGCTGGCTGCCGTGCTTCATGGACGATATCGGGGCCTGGTTGGCCATCTTCTTGCGCTTCTGCTCACGCTGGAATGGTGACAGCTTTGGATTCTTGTTGCGTTTCCGCCGGTGCTCCTTGAGGCGCGGCACACGCTGTCGCCTTGCCATGCCTTCCTCCTGCCCTTGTCACTTCCTTTCCTGTACATGCAAGACCATTGAGGGCACGCATAGTCGGCGCGCGCAAGAGAGAAAGAAAGAGAACCCGAAAAAAAAAATAACCACAACAGCCAGGTCGCCACCATAGGGGCCACCTGCTTATACATAATACGCACGGGAATGTGCTGCCTTGAACCAGCGGTAAATACTTGGCTCTTGGTGCTTCTTTTTCTTTTTAAGAATGCATACCTTTTTCCTTCTCCTTCTCGCTCTTTGGCTGCAATACCCATTCCACTGAATTATTCCTCTGTCCGCATCCCTTTGCTTTAGACTTCTCTCTCGCCTCGGACAATTCTTCACTTACTTTCGCCCCCAAGTCTAGTGGGAGACGGCATTCGTCTCCACTTTACTTGTTAAACGCCTTTTTTTTTTGTGTCGCATCGCCACTCCCCAACAACTAGCAGAGCGTATGTGCAACACGCCCTGCTCGCTCTAGCGGCATGTGCGTGTGCAAAATTCAGGCCGTGTTTTCCACAAAGGCTAGGTGGTCCGAAAACTCCTTTGCGACGCCATCTGCCAGTGTGAGGGACACCCGCACGTGGCCGTCCACCTCAAACTGATCAAGAAGCTCCTTCGCCCTAAATAGCGCCATTTTTGACGCAAACACAACACGAAAGTGCTGCGGGTACAAAATCCAGCATGTGATGAAACCAGGGATATCTTTTAACTGGTGCCGAAGCTCTTTTGTGTGCATCCGCGCCGAGGTCGTCGCGACGGCAGTGACCATGTCGGCCTGACGCACTGTTGATTGAAGGAGCGGGTGAGAGTTGCTGGCATCACCGGAGTGTGGCTCTACGTGTTGCTGCGGTTGCTCTCTTTCGTCATCGGTAGCGTCATTCCTTGGCCGTTTACGCGACTTTGTCCCGCGCAGGACCTCACCCTCTTCCTTGCCCGCTACATTGAGGAGGAACCTTGGCGGGTGCGTAAAGTACGGCGCGTGTCGGAGAGCCAGGACCATGTCCTCCAAGGAGGCAAACGCCGTCTCACCGCCGACGGGGGCATTCACACACTCGACCAGCGCGCCACAGTCGCCTTCGCCCTCGCCATCGTCATCCATCGTCATCAGCTTCACTGCTTTCTCCGCTTCTTTCGCCCGGCGTGGGTGCTTGTTCTCGTGCACGCCAGTACGATTTGGCAGGTAGACGCTCGCGACATCGCCGTCTGCCTTTCCGTACACGGCAACCTCAACGGAGCGGGTCTCCGTGCGGGGCGTGACGGTGTAGCGACACTGTCGTCTTTGCTTTTCCTTTCCCAGTGGTGATGACGCAACCCCCGCTGCGCCCTTCACCGTCGACGATGAAGCCCGCCGCTGCGAGACAGGGCCGTGCTGCTCGTTCAGGCAGCAGTACCGTGCCACGGCCTCCTGGTGCACCCGTGCAAAATCATTCTCAACGTTTGTGACGACAACAACGTAGCGCTCCCCATCTTGCGTCATCTCCGCGCTCTTGTGCTTGTTGCTCACTGGCGCTGCGGCACTTTGGCGCGCGTCCAACGAGGCTTTGCCACGCCTCCCCCCAGCCTGGCCCTGTGCCTTGCCTTCACGCGTGGGCTTCCTCCCCGCGTGGCGGTGTCCTCCGTGGCTGCCCCGCCTGGTCGCTGCGTCGGGCGCCGTCACTGACATCTCCGTCCTACGCCTTCCACCTGCACGAATGTACGCGTCCCTCTCCCTGCGTTCAGGCAGGCCCCCCCCCCCAAAAAAAAAACCAGCCGCCGCATGAAAAAGGAAAAGAAAAAGAAAACAAGAAAAAAAACATGCAACAAGGGATGAATTGATAGAAATAGTTTTGTGCAAGAGAGTAAAAGGAAGAAAATGGCTCCATGAGAGACGCAACTAAGAGTAGGAGCCACAGAAGCAAGGAAGGAAGAATTAAAAAAAAAACGACCTTTGACGCAGCAAACGAAGAAAAATCATAGACAACCACACCACCACACCCCCCCCCCGCCGTCAGTAACTTCTCAGAGTTTGTCGTAGCGGTATTTAAGCTGGGCGAGCCGCAGGAGGTCATTCTTCCCCGAGACGATGGAGCGGAGTGTCTGTGCAAAGACTACGTGCATCCCGGGCTGCCAAAGCACCAGCACCAACTCCATCCAGTTGTCTGCCACTCCAAAGAGCAATGGACCCTGCTGTGACATGTGTGTGTAGTATGCACGCATCACATACAGCCAGTACAGTGCAGGCCACAGAGCGAGAAAACCCAACACGTAATGATACCGCGGCAGCTCTGCCACCGACATCGCAGCTGTGGATGCACTCTTTCTCTCTCCACTCGCCCCTGTTGCACTTTCCTTGATGTAGCCCGCCTCAACAAGAGTGGCCACATCAATGCGAAGAGTTCGACGACACGTATGCAGGTCACACAACCCGCCCGCCCCTAGAATAAGGGATGACGTCAAAAGCGCAATAGCCCCTCCAAATGTCAACGGTGTCCCATCGTCAAAGACAGCGTAGACAAGAGGGTAGCCCGCTGCCAGCATGCCAAGGTAGAGGAAGGCCAGTAGCAGCTGAAGTACGGCTAGGACGCGGAGGAGTGCCACACTTGAGCGCACAGACCCCGCAAGATACTGAAGCACCTGGTCTTGCTCCTGCGTACTCAATGCGTCATCAGAGTTAATGAGCCTTTTCGCCCTCGCGGCTTCAGACTCACGCAAATTGCCAGTTCTATAGCGCACAGTCGCCCTCATGCGTCCAACTTGCATGCGCACCCTAAATTAGCACCAGTGCGAGCAGAAATTAAAAAGAAAAATAGCAACACAATGCGTTACGGCATCCCCCCCCCTCAAAAAAAGAACGACATATAAACAACGGCATTTGAAGCAGACAATACGGCCAAGTCACAGTTATGTCAAATGCATGTATAGAAGCGTGTGCATATAAAGGCCTGCAACGGAATAGCGAAATAAACCAATGGCTATTATTACGTTTTTTTTCGTGTTTTTGTTTTTCTCTTCCTGATTTATGCTCCTCCTGCGTTTTCTCAGTGACACATTGGCTAACCAGACACCCACACACACACACACGCCCACGGACGCGAAGCAAGAGCGGATGCCTAAATGTCTCCTCCTCCTCCTCGCCAGTACGACTTGGACAAACAAAAACGACTGACACATTCCCGGCCGCGCCACGCCAGCGAAACACGCTTCGACAGACGTCGCCCATGGAGGATCCCCAAATGAAAAACAGAAGGCAGCCTCCGCATTCGCTGAGTGCAAAGGCCACAAAAAAAAGAACAATTCAAAATGAAGGAAAACGCAACAAGCAAATGGAGAAGGTCCGCCCCTGGAGCACCACCACTCAGAAGAAAAAGCCTCTACAAGTCCCAAGGAACAAACAAGAGGAGAGATGAGAGGAAAAAAAAAAAACGGCACTACGTGGATCCAGCTCCATCAGCAACACCGATGAGCGGCAAAAAGTCATGTATACCTTGGAAGTTACTTCAATCGGTGTTTGGGGCGGAGGGATGAACGACGACAACAACAAGAACAAAAAAAAGCCTGATATTACACGGGCGAAATGCAAAAGAGAGTCGCTGAGCCCCAATTATCTGCCACGCGCGATGGGAATCAAAGGGAGTAGCGAGAGCGGCGGGGGAAGAAGAGCAGCAGCAACAACAAAAAACATCTAACGCCTGGATGCATCCCCAACCCACAGGCCCGCCCTCCAGATGAATGAGGTCAAATGAAGTCAAGAGCAGTAACAAGAAGAAGAAGAAAAAAACATAATATAAAAGTATGTATGTATTGATGGCCTCGTTTCATCGCACTCTTCCCAAAAGCTACTAACATCAAAGAAATGGCAATGCAAATCAAAAAGCGCCTCTTACTTCTCTCCATCCCAGTTTCACTATCGCTGAGACCCTTGCCGAGCAAAGGAAGAGAATATTGAAACCGTGAAACGTGGGCATGAAGGTGTCCACGCCCTCACTCTCCCTACATGTATCTCATCTACACCAGACTGCCCTCAATTAGTCAACCATTTTCACTGGCCAGGAAGTCACAACAACACCGAGGCGGAGAGGGAAGCAGAAAAGGACTTCACACCGCCTCCATTAACCGTCACGACGCCTTCCCCTGCCCAGCCAAGGTCATCCGTAACCTGCAGTAGCTGTGGCACAAGAATAATGCGGCTCTTCGCAGTGGACAGCCCGCCATTCCTATTGGTGTTATTTGTCGTCTCATTTCCAACGATATTCGGAGGGGCACGTGAGGACTCGCCCTCGTCGACATGGCCAACGCCGTCGTCGCCCGCAATACCACCGGCGCTCGGACTGTTCCATCCCAACTCTGTGGTATCAAGCTCCTCTCCCCCGTCAACATCATCGTCCACGACCTCCGCATACAGATCTGGTGCCCTCTGCAGGAATTCCCGTTGCTCTGGGTTGTAGTCCAATTCTACATCCTTCCGTGCCTCCTCAAGTCCCTCGCGAAACCGCACCAATAGCGCGGAATCTGGCTCCACCTTGTTCCACGCATGCTGCTCTATGTCGTAAAGGGGGTGTGCCACTTCGGGGCCGCCACGGCTCAGGATCCAAAGGATGCCGCCACGCACGCCCACGACGATCGCCACTTCATTCATCCATGGTCCCCGGGTAAATCGGATGCACTGTCCATGAGCCACGCCAAACACATGATCGCAGTAACTTGAGTGGATCGAAAAGAAGGCAACGACACGGTTTTGGACATGATAGGGCACCTCTCGGAGAATTTCGCCATACTTTGGTGGGGTATGGGAAGTTGGAATTATCTTTTGCAACACGGCCGATGCCACACGTGACACGAGGCTCACTGCCTTCAAAGACCGTACCCCCTTCCGCTTCTCCAGATTAGCAACAAACGGCGAGGAGGCCGTGTACGGAATAGTCGGTGGACGCTTCACGGAGCCACGAGAAGCCCGTCTCGCAATACTGAGCCGCATCTCTCAAAGTTTCACACTACAGAGCAGATACAAGAGAGAGGGCAGGGTGTATATATAGAACGTCACAGTTTGTGGCTATGGATGATATGAGAAGGAGAGAGAGACAGATATATACATATAGAGAGAGTGGCGCAGCGGGCATACACATTACCTCGCAGGTAAATAAAAATTTGGTGCAGAGGCAACGGATTGGAACAGAGACCAAAAAAAAAAAAACTGCAGGCGTGGCACACGACTCCGGAAAAGTGACCAGGCTGCTACACAAATAAATGTCTAAATGGAGCCACATAGTTGACGCCGGACCGCATGCGTTCATTGCCCTTTCTTCTTCTCTCGTCTTCCTGTGCTGTCCCCTTTATCACAACCCAAAATCCCACTAAGAGAAAATCGTCCCCTACTCCACCTGCGAAGCAAAACACACATCAGCATTGCAATAAAAAGCGACGCACAAACCAGTGAAAGGGACCCCATCACAGTCTGGGGGGCGCTCTTCTCTTCCACGTGAGCTTCGTTGCTTCTGAAGCTGCAATCACCATCGGCCCCAATCGTGACCGTTTCCCATCCACTGAGAACCTCACGGAGCCGGTGCGCCAGAGCCACTCGACGTGGCGCAGCGGCAAAGAGCGTTGACAAAAGTATTTCAAATTCGCCTCCGTCTTCGGCGTCACTCCCCGTTTTCCCTTCCGCTGGGGTTGTGGATGCAGGCACGGGACTCGCCCCATCCGCTGCAGCTTGCTTTTTCGCGTTGTCAACGCCTTCATCACTCCGACACTCTGAGTTTCCTGTAAACTCAGGGAGATCTCCCGTGTAAAGAAAATGCACAAACTCACGTACAATGCTGAAGGCGAAGGACGGATTTTCACTTTCATGGGTCACAAGCGTGGCGAGTGAGTCACGTACATGCGCTGGTACATCCACCTCCGTCCCACCCTTCCCATAGAATGAGGAGGAGGCGTCAGACACCAACTTGTCCAAGATGCGCAAGGAAGCCTGCAGGGACGAAGGTGAGCTAAAACCGCTCGTGTCCGTGAAGACGGCGACGCGACCCATACTCCTCCCCTCGAGCGCTTTTCCAGCTTCCGCGGGACTCCGCCTGGAGCTTTTTCCCGTCCCACTGTTACCCACCCCGACAAACCCAAAAAGCGGGGCAAATTCCTTTGGATGCACCCCCCTCAGCACATCGGCGGCCTCGCTGGAGCTGCCATCCGCCCCGCGCCCCTCCTCAGCCCTTGTCACCTCACGCAACTCCCTCGCCCACGCCTTCTCCATACCACACACCATGACTGTTCCCGCCACGTGTCCGCGCCGCGGCGAAACGGCGGAGCAGGCATTTCTTGCTGGAGGCCAACGCAGCACACCCGCGGCTCTCATTTGGCCAAAATGGCGGTACACCGTCTGCCTCCCCCAGCCCACTTGGTACCAAGAGGAAAAAGTGGGGGTGGTTGCCAGCGTCAGCGCGCCATCCACAACTCGGTTGTCGTCAAGCTGCAGAGTCCCTTGACTAATGTCACAGAGAAAAGCATTTAACGAAGGCACATGACAAGCGCCCTTCAGACCCTGTGTCCTATGCTCACTCACTTCACCGCCTATACTTGACGCCGCGGCGTCCCCCTTTTTTTTCAAAAATAAGGGCGACCACGTCTGATTTCGCGTGACATCGTGGAAGGAGAGCTCTCGTGCTACTCTTTCGCTGTACCACTCGCTGATTATCACCACGTGCAGTTGATGGCGCAAAACAGCCTCGGCAAGGATGCCGCGCTCCTCCTTCACAAGTGGAAGTTCTGGATCCAGCAACAACAAGGTCCCAATACTGCGGTAGTAGCGCTCTAAGGTAATGCGCCAGTGCAGATTTGACGTCGTTGCGGTCCCACCCAACGGAAGCCCCAGAGACAAGTAACTCACCAGTGGCACCTCAACGAATAGCCCCATTGCACGACGGAGAAAAAGCAGTAGTGGCACCATATTTGTGTATGGATGATCACTATCGCATTCAAAGACGCCACGGCTTTCACGGCGAGTTCGACTTCCCTTGTGTTGGTGTTGTGCATTGCGTACGGTGTTAGGATAGGCGTCATCGCCGGGCACAAAATCAGGTGGATAGAACCACTGATGGCTAATGTCAAAGGCCATACGCTGCGCACGTGGAGGACGTGGGATAACGGGAATCTTAAACGGTAATGTGACACAGTCTGAGTTACACCGCACCTCACCGCCGTGTATTTCCTCTTGCCGGGTTGCATGGGAAGATGCATTGCATGTGTATGCCACCTCCACGGAACCCGAAACCTCAATAAGATCAAAATACCCCAACAATTTCTCACTGACACCCGCCCCCAAAACTGCCTTGGTTGCTCGCGGTGATGGCGCCCTTCTGACACTGGACGCATTCGATGGCGACAAGGCAAAGAGTGAGACAACTCCACTGTGCGCCTCAAGGGCGTGCGATGCATGTGCCCGTAATAAGAGAAGCTGCTTAGCGGTAGCCACATCTATGGTGGAGGCGTGACAGCGCCCACGCCGACGAGCGCCACAAATACCCTTTGCGCCTGTAATCCTTATCCGTGGTGTGGCATGGAGCAGGCGTGCTGCAGGGCACCGTGGATGGTAAAGGTTGACAGTGTATTCAACTGGTGTCGCCGATGGGAAAAGTGGTTGCTCACAGTACGGCCAGTTGGCCAAACAAGGGGGCAATGCGGATGTTGCCCCTTCGCCATGCGGTAGTTGATGCTCCCCTGTGGCGTCAATTTCCCTCGGGAAGACAAACCCTCTCAAAAGCATAGACTGCTGTCCTCCTATCGCTTCGACCCATGCAAGTGCACACATCGGGCACACCTCTCCGGCTCCTTGGCTCATGTAACTGTACTGTAAGACACTTCTGTAGTGAAGAAGCGTCTGCGTCATGGCGACGCCATCACGACGGTTGGATGCACTTCCTCCAAGACGCCACCATTCACTTCGACTCCGGGCTAAAAGCTCCTGCTCTTCCTTGCGAAGCGCTGCCGCCATGACACGCATTGCAGAGCCATTCGGATAAATCGCAACCGCCGTCTCCATCAGTATCCGCTTCATCATGGCGACATTTACATCTGCCTCTCTGTAAAAAGTTGAACGTCGAAGGGCGTCGATGCAAAGCGCAACGATTCCCGCCACGATTGGAGTGGCCACGCTCGTGCCGTGCGAGACCCGGAGCGATAGCGCGCCCGAGTCCCTGTCGCGTCCCACACCAAGCACTTGCTCGCCCAGTGCCACGAGATCCGGTCGTACTCGACCTGCTCCATATGGCATCTCCCATTTGCTTGGCCCCCTGCCCGAAAAAGTTGAAACCCAACGCATCGCTGAATCTATAGAAAATTCGTTGGGTTTCGCGCCGTCCGTAGTTGCGGTAAGACGTCGCCCACGCGTTCCAAGCGATCCCACCGCGATCACTTCGGTTTGATCAGCGGGATTATGCAGTGACCCCATCTCGGGACCCTCATTCCCTGTGGCGGCCACCACCACCAGACCCTTCTTCGCCAATTCGGTCACCTTCGCCGTGAAAAGGACGTCATAGTAGTCGTTTCCACCAAAGGACAAACTAATAACATCTGCATTCCACTGAAGAGCAAAATTCAACGCCGCCACACACCAAGAGGTGCGGGTGTCACGATTGTCATCAAACACGCGTAGCATGTGAACATCTGCGCCGGGCGCTATCCCGAGGTATTGCACTCGCGGAGAAGGCATTCTTGTCCACCCTGTGGTAGAGTTGTCGTCTGACGCAATACTTTTTCTCCTGGGGGCTCCACCTTCGGCCCCCTTCAGAAATGAAATGTTCCCAGCCATCACAGAGACGCTAAAGGTGCCATGGCCATCTTGGTTATTCTCGCACGGAAGTCCAGGCACAAAGCTTGTACACATGCGAAGCGGTTGTGCGGCGCCGGCCGTTTTCTCCGAGTTCAGCTGCTGTTCGGGTGACGAGGAAGAAGCGAGGTGGGAATCAAGCCCGGTGTCCAAGAGAGCAATGCGAACACCCCTTCCTGTCCACTTCATGGTGGAGGAAAGCCCAAAGTACCGCCGCGGGTACAACGGCCGTGCTGCAGTGAACCCTTTCCGGGGTGCAACCGACGCAAGCGCCCGATTCCCGCCAAAGAACACGTCTTCTACCACACTAGTGACAGAAATTCGCCCCACACGAGGGAGGAAAACCGAAAAGTTGCGAAATCCTTCTTGAACACAGCGGGTACCGCGTTTTCTGTGCGCTGACACCACACGCACCACAACAAAGTCCTGCCACCCTCCTTCTGTGAGCAACTGCGAGGTGGCGAGCAAACGGCCACACCCGTTGTCCTCCCATCGCCATTTCCACCAACGCTGAGCCTCCTCAGCCAGCGTCGCAAGACTCTCAGGAAGGAGGTAACTATTGATAGACACAATGTAGTCGGCGCTCCGAGTCTTGCCACTATTGCTTGAGAACTGCAGGCCTCCTTGCGTTGATAATGCGTGCGTTAACGCCAGAAAGAAGAGAAGCAGAAGAAGATTCACAGCCAGATGGCAAGACTGTGCCATGAATGTGAAACCTCTCTGTCTGCATCTCATTCACTTCTTCTCGTGCGGTTCTGTCTCTATGCAGGGGAAGAAAGAAGCAAAAAGAAAGAAAAAGCCAATACCCCAGATAGCCTCCGGAGAACAATAAACATAACTTGTCTGCAGTTGACACAGGTCCGCTTCACAGTTTCGCTGGCACGCTCCTAGCATATATATATATTTCGCCTGGGAGTGGGGGGAACAGTTCTCCGAATGTCGTCAATCGTACAAATATACATCAAATCTGGGGAGTGGCAAGAATTTGTAATGAATACCCCCCCCCCCATGTGTCAGTCCCCCTCTTTTGTGTGTGTGTTGTTCATTTAACTGGTGCTCCATCCCCAAATGCTGTTGCCTCTCAACTCGTTCCATTAAGGCCCGATGCGGGAATCAGCGGTGGGGCACGCGTGTTAGTATTGAGAAGCCGCTCCGCCAGCCACCGAATTGGATTCTCTGGCTTTGCTTTGGACAACTCCACGAGTGCGGGTAACAAGGTCCCCTTCAGCTCTGCCTGCACGTATTCCCTCGAGGCAGCAGCGTTCGGAACTTCCTGCACTAACATGCGTGGAAACAGTAGCTGAACCACCTGCTTAGCCGCAACAGCAGCGGCGTTGCAAAACAGCGGACATGGAATCCAGGTTTGTTCGGGGATTTCTTCTTCGTCTCCTTCCTTTGGCGCCGCCGCCGCCGCCGCGTTGGCACCTTCGTGCGCAGCCTTTTCTTGAATCGACATCAGCAACGATGTGAAGTCCGTCTCTGCAAATACATGATCCAACCACTTCAGCAATTCCGCATGACAGTCCCGTCGTGCAAGCACGTACAAGTACACGTGCCCCACAAGCTCCTGCGGCCCCATTGGGACGGAGGTCGCGTGCTGGCACGTAAACATGGGATGGGATCCCCCGACGGACTCGGAGGGTACCACTGGAGCGGCGCTACCGCTGAGGAATGCGGCACGGTCAAGCTGAACACCGATGGTGTCTGCCATTTCCTCATTGATGCGCCGGTATTCTTCATGAACAATAATAAATCCCGCCTCATACAGCTTAAACTTGATCACGGAAAGCAAATCCCGTTCCTGCGCATATTGGGGGCGCACAAAAAGCGCGGCCTTTGAAACAACACCACTGAGAGCTGATGTCATTCTCGTTCCGCCGTTTGTTCTTTCTCCCTCCTTTTTTTTTTTGCGTCACTGTGACCCTGCCAGCAAATAAACGCCCTAAATTATATATATATATATATGCCTCTACCGCTGCTGTCCTCTATGCAGCGCTCTTTTCTTGCCGTCTACCGCGAAGTATACACCGTCGTCGTGTCTCGGTTCCCACCCCTCCTCGCCAAATACTCGCGCTCTCACGGAGTGTGTGTGCCCCCCAAACGTGGCCCACATGCACACCGATGCGCACGTAGTTTGCGTGAAACCCCAACGCGGCAGCAGAGGCAGAAGGGGGGGAAAAAAAGTACACAAAGCCACAAACGCCCGTACACAGGCACAGATGAGGTGAGAGAAAAACAGACAAACCCACACCTACGCGAGCGACGGAGAACCCCACGAGGACATCTCGGCCGAGGCTGGGATGTGCAGCCGCGTTCAATACACCAGAAAAAAAAAGCAAAACAAAATACGTTCGGTCTGCTAGAAAGAGGCATGCATGTATATTTTATTTTTCCTTGGCTCTCACACAAGCACCACAAGATGTGATCCCAAATTCCACCTAGATGTCAGTGCCGTCTCTAACACCGGCTCTCGAGCACACGCAACTTCCAGAGGGGGACCCTCATTGAGTGTCGTGACTAACACCGCAACGTAGGCCTCCCGCTTCTACTTACTGCCCCTCAGAGTGCTCCAAAGCAAAACTCCCTCCCACACCCTCCAACACACACACAGACACACACACACAAACACAAGAACAAAAAACAAGCAAGCAAACAAACAAACAAACAACAAAAGGTAGGAAGTAAATAAATTAATTATTTCATCTGTATATTCCTCCGTTTTTGCGTCAAAATAAACACAAACAATGACCGTTTCTTCTTCATTCCTTTCTCTTTTCCATACAGGGGCCAATTAATCAGAATCCGTCGAGTGTCATAGAGTGAGACGCCTGCAGCTCCCACAGAAACAGTGGCTCAACGGAGCACTTAAAAGACGGCACCCTTACGGTAGTGTTAGGGGAAAAAAAGGATGAAGCTGCACGCACACGAAGTAAGAACGCTGCACCCACAGAGTCTCCTCAGGTATAAATCACTTTGAACACCACCCACAAAAAGAACTGTCTGTGCGGTCCGATTGACACTCACACACAGTATGCTCGCATTGGATTCATATACACAGTCATAAAGGTATATCAAAACCGCTGGTTCACTTCACTTCCATGCGTTCCTCACTTCTTCATTCGCCTCCGTTTCTCTTTCTTTCTTTCTGTATTTAGACACGCATCACTTTCTTACTATTGGAGTACATTTACCTTGTCCACTCTCACTCTTCATGTCAACAGCACCAGAGAAACAACACTTCGAACTCACACTTACCGCCTATCTTCCTTCTCGCCGTCGGTTGCCACCAGAGGGGCACGCGTGCATGTGCACGGAAGTGTGTGTGTATATATATATATGTTTACCTACAAACAGTGTGTGTGTGAGAGAGAGGAAGAGGGAAGATTTAAATGGGAGAAAAGGGAGGCGACAGACAGACACACGCAAAACGGGGGGAGGGGGTAGGGGAAAAAAAAACAGGGAAAAACAGGAAGAAAATAGAAAAAAAAACACCCACGCCAAACGAAAGAAAAGAAAAACTACATGTGTGCATAGATACTTTATATACAGGATAGTTTCGTGCGTGCAGACCACAGCGAGAAAAAAAAACGCCCACGCACACAGGGAGAAGTTGAGAAGCGTATGACGCACGCATCACGAGAGGGTACAGGAAGAACAAAACAAACAGAATGTGTCCAACAAATGAAGGAGTTCTTCAAATTAATAAATGGGGAGATATAGTTTACACATTCGCCTGTTTTTCATGTGATATTTGGCCTCGCAGAACAGCAACGTCAAGTTGCATAGGCCCTATCCCACTCTCTCACACTCCCACACACACTAGCATATTTAGTGTTATTATTACTGTCCCAATCCCTGCTTGTGGCCACGCAAAGCGACACCTGCTGCGATGCTGCAGGCCCCACGAGAAGGCGGTGGAAAAGTACAGAAATATAGAGGAAGACTACGAAGAGGGGAAATAATAAGGCGAATGGGAGAAGGCGGGTTCGTGTGGGCGTGCTGCGTGCAAGCGAGACAGCAACAGTGACAGCAGCATATAAGCGAGAAACAGGGGCACGAAGAACGGCTGAAGCACGGCTCACCCACGCCCGTATCCTCACCCCAAATATAAAAAAAAAAAAACAAGAAAGAAAGTCATTATCCTTGGAGCTGACCGCCGCCTCCCTGTCAGTTTTTGTCTCTCCCCTACATTTCCTTCCGTCCTCTGTGAGAAGAGGATACCAGACGTTGTTGTTGTTTTCTTTTTTCTTTTTCTTCCTACCCTCCCCTCCCTCCCGTGTATGCCTGTACATACATAAAATGCCTGCAAAGGCATCCGTGCCTTGTACATTCATTGAAAAAAAAAGGAAAAAAAACACACAAACAAATATATCGGCTTCAATTACAAAGGATTTAGTAAAGACAATTAACTAACGCAATAGTACTCGCTGGTCCCTCTTCACTTCGTTTGATCCCGCTTCTTTTTTTTTTTTCTTTCCTGCGTAAGTGGTCCCGCCTGCAGTAGAAAGAATAAGATAGAGAGATAGAGTAAAAGGCCAAACGCTACAACTGACGCAACTGGCTCACGACTTCTTGCACAAGTAATTCTTGTACACTACGCGTCTTCATTCCTTCTTGGCGACGTGGCTGGTGAGGCGTATGACTGTAATCTGCCCGCCTGAAGTGCGGGGGCACAATGGCCATCGCCTGGGGACTTCTATGGCCCAAACCATTATGTGGCAAAAGGCGCTGCCCACTTACAGAAACGGAATCCATACAATGACAACGACCATTCTTGGCGATGCGTAGCGGATTCTCCGAGCCTCGTGAGTCGTTCGAGGTTAAACTCACTAGCAACGGAAAAGACAAACTCGGCGTCGGTTGTTGAAGCTTTGAGGATTGATTCGAGGCGTTACCACTAGCGCTACAATTGGCCCCGCCACGCGAGGCGCTATAACAGTTGCCCTTATTCGTCACCGCAACGGATTCGGGTAAAAAAAGTTGATGCACGCTGCCCTTTCCGTCTGCATGTTCGGTGTTGCTAGAGGGAAGTTTACTCGGCGTGGATACCGAGCACAGGGAGTCCAATGGATACATATTACAGTTCCTTGAGCTGAATGACAAACTGCTAACTCCTGCCGTGGAAAGAGATGGCTGCTTCAGCGCAAATGGAGATCGGGTAGAGGAGCCAACCGAGCCTTCCCCGCCTCTAGAACTATCCTGCAGGAACATGGGGCTTGTATCTTTTGCCGTGTCATTGGGTCCATTCAGGTTATGCGTAGGATGTGCCTCCCACGTCTTTGGCGGGAGGTATGGAATCCTTGGCGAACGATTGCGTGATGCCGTCAATGCCGTCATCAGCGTAGGTGTAAAAGGTGCAACTGTGCCTGGTGACATCGAAAACACGTTAGAGGATGGTATTAAACCCCCTTCTCGAGAAGCATTTGGCTTCCGTGGCGATATCGAGCAAAGACGTGATTGCAGAGTCAGCTTCGGCGTGGCCTGAAAATTCGGCTGGGCATGCATCATGTCATGCCACACGGAGCCAGCAATCGCCCCAACACGCTCCGCAATGGGAGTTGTCATACTTCCTTGTGGTTGACACGGTGTAGACGACACCATGGCATGCACACCTTGTGCACCCGCCGCATCTTCCGACCCCGCTTCTAGTCGCAAGTCACCAGTGCTTGCATTAAATTCGCATTGCTCTTTTTGCCCCTTCTCTGTCCCACTCTTATTGAATACAGGATCCATCGTGGCGTCAAGCAGCGGAGGGGGTTTGCCACACGTGTCCGCTTGACTGTCAACGCTCATGGACGTCCCCATTAAAAAGGCATCCTCTGACTTGGAGAGGGACCGCTGCTCTTCTTCCACGGCGGTCACGCCACTCTGTTTTTCGCCTTCGCGGTATGTGAGAGTAAATCCACACTCATGCATGTCTCCCTTTGCCATTCCTTGCCTTCTGCTGCTGCTGCTGTTTCCCGCGTGGATGTATGCGTGTTTTGCCTTCGTTGGCCCCTCTCTCCCCGGCCAGAGTCCCCAGAGCGGGAGTGATGTGGTCCCCGTCGCCCGGACAACTGCGGCCCCGTGTGTTGGCGAAAAGGGGAGAAGAGGAGAGCGCCGGCGCCGTCGATGGAAGTGGCGGCAGTAACGATGGACAAACGCGGATTGGCGAGGCACACCAAGAGGGGAAACAATGAAAGACACACACACACACACACAGAGGGTGAGAGCTAAAAAAGGAAAAAAAAAAAAAAGAAAAACTAATACACAGCTGATGCCGGAAAAACAGACAAAAAAAAAAGAGGAGTTTGTAAGTGATCGACTCACTCCTCTCTCAGTCTATATCTGCTTGCACCCTATGTACGGGTATTTCCTGGCCGCTATGTGCGTTCCTACGTGTGTGCTGCAGACAGCGTTGCCCACGTGGCGTGCACCCAGCGAACACCGCGAAAGCAAAAGAAGGGAGAAGCAAGAGACAAGGACGTGTAAATTAGACTTCGATGGAGTCCCTCAATGATATGCATAACAGCAAAAAACAACAACAACAGCGGCAGCAGCAGCAGGACAGCCACAGTGCGAAAGACACTGCAGTGGGGAGTAATTATTAAATATAAAGCATAAGAAAGAAGCCATTATTAGGGCTTTCCTAATAACACGCCTGCAAACACGCAAATAGCCGCCCTTGGCCTGAGGATTGTCTGCCTCTCTCTCTTTCCCTGTGTGTGTGTGTGTGTGTGTGCGTGCGTGCTGTACCCGCGTTTGCTTCTTTGCGCACCCACACGCACATCATCGACAGGAAGAGGAAGAGATAAGCACTGCGAACGGCATCCATAAGAATTAGGAGTAAAAACACTCAATCTCTGCAAAGCACACTCACATCCACATACACGCAAACGTGCCGCAACAAACAATTTGGGATACATGCAAAATTAATTATTTATACTACGACGGACAAAAGAAAAGAGCAAAGGGCGTCACGTTGTGCAGCAAAATAGGGAAAAGAAAAGAAGGGCCGTCCGGAGATGCAATAAAACCCACGCACACAGAAAGGGAGAAAAAGCGAAGAAAACAATCGACCAGGAATGGGCAAGGTAAAAAAAAAAATGAAATAATTAAGTGACCCCAGCCAGTCCCCAAAACAATGCCAAAACCCTTGTCATGGGCATCAGCTAAACTTGCCTGACAACACCCCACACTCAGTTTCTCCCTGCAAGTCAAACGCGGAGACGACAGTATTTTCCAACAATAAAAAAAGAAGGAGAGATAGAAACACGGTCTCCAATGCCATCATGGGCTTCCATTGCCTAAGAATGTCTGCCAAAGAGGAACGGCCGTCTCGTCGTCCTCACGCCTTGTAGATTCCACGTCTTGCCGGCACAGTCGCCGAGTAGCTAGTGAGCCGAACCGTCTGCTACGCGTCTCTGGTGCATCACCACAATATTCTGCGTCACTGATTACACCACCACTCCCGCAGTTGGCCTTATCGGCATCATCACCGCAATTCTGTAGCGCGGTCCCTTTTGTTACTGGGGGCATCTTTATTGTCACCGCCGGAGACCTCGCGGAGACAGCCTGCTCGTACTTTCGTCGCCACGCCTCCGCCTCGTGCTGTCGCCAGTGCTCCGACCTATTTTGTAGCCGTTGTTGCCTCGACGCCCAACTCGATGAAAGCCCCGCATAATCGCCCCCAACCAAACTGTTTTCGCAATGGCCGGAGTTGGCAAGATTAACCGATGCCTGCAACTTCTCAACCTCCGTTTCTTCAGCCGGAAGCAGGGCATGAGTGATGTTCTTGGGAGAGGTGCAGGAACTGCCGCCCCATGCCAACAGCACCTGGAATTCTTCGCACGCAGAGTCTCCGCCTCGATCGCAATCGGCAGCGCCAGCTGTACCATCCGGCGATGCGGCATTGCCAATAAAAGACGCTGTCGGACTGGCTCCTTGCCGCACAGCCTCCACACACTCTGTGTGGAGCCCAGCTGGAACCTGCGAGCATGCAAGCGAGGGACTCACCTCTGCAAACTCCTCTTCCCTCTGCGACATGCCGTCATCTGACCCCGGGCCCTCCACGCCGGTTGCCTCACCCTGACGACGTCCGTCTTCCCCACTTGTCCCGTCCCCCACCCCCACGCAATGCATTAAATGGACACGCGCCCCCCTCGCGCTCGTTCCCACGCTTTGCTTTACTTCACTACAATGCTTGGGTATTTTAAGGTAAATATATTTCCGTTGTGACGTTGGTTGCCGTATCGCCTCGCCCACGCACCCTTCGCGACTTCAACCAGCTGAGAAACCAAGAGGATGCATGGAGAACGCGCAAAGGACAAACGCGAAAACACACATTAAAGAAACAACAAAAATGTTCTCACGGAACGTTGGTCCCACAACATGTGCAGCTACACCTGCCGTCGTGCAGAAAGCCGCATCATTGCAGGGGACATTGACACAAATAATTCAACGCGTGCACACACGCATACGCATTAACCACATGCCTCAGTTGACCAATGACATCCCCTCGCTCCACATTCCTCGCCACCAGAAAAGAAACAAAAACAAAAAATAGGCTAAGCCTTAACTCCCCCCAATAAATTATGAATAGGGAAATGAAAGACATACAGCAACTTTTTTTCCCCATAGTTATTCATAAGGAGCTCATTGACGTCGTTTAGTAGTCAATAGCAACTGCGGTGCAAATTCCTGTTATACATAAATGCTCAAAAACACTTAAGAAACGAAGGCGCCGAAAGAGGACTTCTGCCCGCCTCGCGCGATCCCCCTCGCAGTGCACGGGTGCCTCACGCCCCGGCCCTAGAAATCCCTTCCGCGGGGCCGCCCTCCAACGCCGCACGCCCCTACGCGGCATGTGTCTCCCCGGTGTGCGCAAACCCTTGTCAACGCGGCCGCCCCAAACCCAGATGGAAAGAGGAAAAAACGTGCCCGCAGGCGCCGCGTTGTCGACAAGCATGCGGAGGGGCTGCTTGCCCTGTGCGTCCGGAACGCCTGCGGGTCACGACGCACGCTCCCTGCCGTGAAATCGCACGCGACGCGCCTCCCCAGCACCGCTGACAACCGCCACCTCCCCCGAGCCTTCCAACCGTAACGCGCCCCCACTCGTGCGCGGGCGAGTCTGTCGCCAACGCCGCGGCCGTTGACAACTTTCTCGGCGGCCAGGCCGGCCCGCTCTCCAGCCGTATCTGGCGCCACTCCGGTCCCGCTCCCGAGGCGCACGCCACACCGTGCGGAACCCGCGCCCCCCGCCGCCAGAGTTCTGT